CTCCGGCGAAGCCCATAGTGGATGTTACCTACAATGAAGAGGAGCCGTCGATTTGTAATTTTACGATTCCACGTCGTATGTAGTTCATGCATCGCGACCCGACATGATAGACGAGTCTCGTCGCCTCTGGAATTATTGAAACTAGTTCTAAATATCTCTCAATCATTCTCATTGTCGCTGGGTTTTCTTTGCAATCATTGGTAATGAGTCTTGATAACATCAACAATCACACCGTGATCCTCATCCTGTTTCAGACCACTGACAACCACAACAGCCACAACGCCCTCAACTCCTTGCACACGGATGGGCACGCCGCCACCGTGAATGGCGTACTTTCCAGCCTGTTCCGTGCTCATACCAAACTTTGAGGCAAAGAGCTGCTCATCGCCGCCCAGCTTGTTGTGAAGAAGCCAGGTGCTGCAGCCCCATCGGAGCACGGCGTTGCGCTTGCGCTGCACCCACGTCTCGTTGTCGGGAAGAGAGCCGGATCCGACGGCCGTCTGGAAGAGCACCTGTTGGCTGTTTGCCAGTGCAATCGAGATGACTGTGGGCTTCTTGTTGACGAGGGCGAAGGGGAGGAGTCGGGCATGAAGGAGATGTCCTAGTTCAAATGCATCCTCATATGTGAAGGACTGAAAGGTGATGGAATCACACTCTTGTTGAATCACCTCGACCTGCAAGCTTATTAGAGTTTGCTACAGCCTCATTGTCGTTGTGCTGGCTTATGTTGCTCTAGGGTAGAACTCACGTCGCGAGGCGGCGAAGGGATCGGAGTCGGAGCGGCGGCAGGGTCGCGGACGGCAGCGAGTGACTTCTCCAAGCCGAAGCCTGCGGGGTGTCGGCGGGTCCAGACTTTTTGAGACATGTTTGGTTGGGGCGCTGAAGCTTGCGGAAGCGGTCTTAACCTTTCGAGATATGTGTTGAAGAGTGAAGAGTTGTTTCGCGGTGCTTTTGGCGATGAAGCTGCTGACGGAATGCTTTCTGATGAGTCGTCGTCGTCTCTGTCCTGCAACTGAAGAAGCAATCAAGTTATTAGATAGCAATTCTTCCCCTTCCGTGTTCTCGGCGAGCGAAAGCGGCGCTATTGTGCTCTTAATAATTCCCTAACGAGAATGCATCCCCCCCCAATCCCATCCCACACCGGCTGGGTCCCAACCGTCATGCAGCCCACTTGGTGCTTCTCAACTGTTACAGTTACCCTATTGGGAATGGAGAGTTCAAGAACTTACGGAGCCGGGCCTCTCTCCATGTTGCATGATAGGCTGCAAGAGGGGTTTTGTGACGGGTGCTGTCGCGCTCGATGCTGGGGTTTGCGCTGCGCTGCTGTCCCGCGCCGTGCTCTCTGCCGCTGCCGGCGGTGCGCTTGCTCGCGCGCTGAAGCTTGACTGACCTACGGCGGCGGCTGCTGCTGCTGCTTCGGCTGTGCCATTTCGCCCATTCTTCTTGTTGGGCGTCTTGGAATATCGATATAGGCCCCATTCTCGGAGTCGGCGCTGGAATGTCTTGCCGTTGACTTCGTATCCCTTTGCGGCGAGGCCCTTTAACATGCTCTCGACCGTCTCGCGCCGGTTGAACGCCGCAATGATTTCATCCTTGAAGGGCTCCAGGTCGAGACGGGGCCGTCCGGGAGGCATTGTCATTGTCCGAGCGCTTTCGCACCGAGTACATGTATACTTTCCACGGCACGGCCCTTTCAATCATGGGTACATATGTGATTGGAGGCGCGATTCAATAGGTGTAAGGTAGCTGATGAGATGTCCGCGAAGAGATGGCGGGTATTGATCCTAGGCACACGGGCGCCGCTTTCGCCGGATTGACGATTTGTCTTTCTGGTCAACATTGTGGCTGACAGCCACAGTGGCTGATATGCCGCCCTCAAATCCTGTTTCTCCCGACTAGCAACTCTGTCAAAGTTCAGAATCGTGATTAGCAAATTAGAGTTGATTGAGGGAATTGCGTCTCGCTCGCATAATACAAATTCTCAAGATATCCACTATCAAATACTTAGTTATGATTTTGGGGCGACCAACCTACTTACTCACTCAGCTCTAAGACGATTGTAAGGCTTTGACCCCTTGATCATTTTCGTGGTTGAAGTTGCCGAGGATATTGAGTTCAACGAACCATATAGCCGTCTTGAAACTCCGCAAGTTGAAGAATGCAACATCTCGGGTTCGCTTTCATTGTAAAGCCTAGAGCCAATGTGATGGACTGCCGTGCTTCGTATTCGTAACCAAAGTCCGCCGCCCTCGCGGACTGTAATGAACCCGTGCGGATGAGACAATTACTCTTCACTTGAGATGGCATCCCTGAAGCTTCATCAACTCAATTTCTGTAGATATAAAGCACATGTAGCCTCTTACTGACTGTATCACCCGAAAGCATTGAATCAAGCCTAATTATACCGGCAACAGCGCGAGCGGATTTTTATTTCCGCAATCTCCTCTCTTCCACCTGCCTACTTCAGGTAGTGTCGTTTTTTGATAACTCAAACAAGTTGAAGCTACAAATATAGTACTTCCTGTCGACATGACCTCCCTCCCCCGCGCAGTCCAGACCATTATAGACAAGGATGAGATCCGAACCGTCATCTATCGGTTCGCTCGTGGAGCAGATCGCCTGATTCGCAACGTCGTCCAGTCCGTCTACCACGAAGATGCCACAGATAACCACGGGACCTACAACGGCCCAGCCAAAGACTTCTTCGACTCAATGGGCTCTAATTCAATCAAGACCGCCCATCACCAGATCGGTCAATCTCTCATTGAGATTGAGGAAGATGGTCGCAAGGCGCATGCAGAGACGTACTGCACCGCTACAACGATCGTCGGAGTTGGACAGGAGGAGAAGTGGACTACGTTCTTGGTGCGTTATGTTGACAACTTGGAAAAGAGAGAAGGTGAATGGAGGATAACTCACCGTTTCTGTGCGTTTGACGGCGCTTCTGAGGGTGCTATTATGGGATATCTGCCGAAGGAGAACCTAGGTACCCGTGACGAGAGTGACTACTCTCGATGTGTCTTCAAGGATTAGAAATCTTTGGCTCTTCCACCTTTCCCGGAGTTCATGTAAAATAATGAAATGGAGGGACTGATCCTCGAAATATTCGATGCTTACCAAGCACTCCGTGCCTCAAGGCTCAAGTCATGGCATCAAGTCTGGAAAAGTAAAGATCGTTGACAGACTCACAAAATATGAGAATGAACATAACCCGACTGAATGTATACTTCATTAGCCTAAAGCAACGTTCCCGTGCGTGGGAAGCTTGAGAGGCTGCGTAGGGATGTCAAGTCGAAACATTTTGAGATACAGATTTCTACTCACAACCCCAGGACAAAGACGGAGGAGATTCAGATCACGTAACCCAGCTTTTGTTTGCCCAAATATACGACAGCCCACAGACGTTTGTCAAAAGCTGAGTGGCCGATTCCTTGCAACACCAACCTCGCCAATTGGATGTCTTATTGGTGCCCCGGTCCAGACGAGGTGCGGTAGGTGGCTTTACGACCTCAAAGGAAATCGAGGCAAGGATCAAAAATCGGAAGATCTGCCAGCCTGAGCTATGAGTTGGAAGCTGCCCCGACTAAAGTTTCTCTCAAGACATTCCCCATTCCCAAGCGCAGGGCTATTCACGATGTTGGTTCGTAAGGTCCCGGTCCTGGCACCAGTCAACAACCCCGAATTTGGTGCTAGTGACAGCAGCCCGTCAACTCACGCCCCCCTCCTCGATTATTTCCCGCCCACCCGCGAAGCACGAATCCGCTGTCACCAAAGTGCGACTTCCTCTCCGAGTCCAGCTGTGGTGTGAATAAAGACAGTCATCGAGCTTGGTACGAAGGCATTCGTCATCCGGGGCCAGCCTAATATAAGTCTGGACGATGCCTACAACAATCATAGCACCTAGCTTGTAACTGAAAGCCTTTCTGACGAAATGGGTACCAGTACAAGACGCAGCCCACTGACTCACCTAATATCAGCACCTTGTCATGTTTCGTTATCAGTGGTACATCCAATTTGAGAGATGATCTTGAAGAGCCCATGTCTCGTGGGTGCAGAACGACGAGGAATTCTGTGAAGCCTTTCTGAAGCACATCTGCATTCTCTCAAACCAATTAGAGATTGGAGAATCTGTCTTGCAGCTCCTCGCATCGTAGGATTGCCAATATCTCTTCCACATAATCGGCAGCGAACATATCCCTCCAGGACCCTATTTTTTCTCCAATAGTGGAATCTTCGGCCCTTGTCGCCTCTTCTCCGACGATACCGAATCTTTTGTTTTGAGCACGATACCAAGTCAAGAAGATCCTCAAACGTAAGTAGGCCGGCCGGGCATCACTTTACGCAGCCCCCCATTCCCCTATCTCTTTTGTCACCGCGGGATTAACATGATCAAAGGTATCAAACGTTGCACGCCGCTGCATTTGGGGCATCGTCGCTCTGTGTTGCAGTTCCTTCGAGGATCAACTCTTCTAAAGCTGATCATACGCCGTTTGCTGGACTGAGAGTTGCAGTCAAAGACTTGTTTGACCTCAAAGAAGTTCATACGGGATGTGGAAATCGGGGTTACCGTAGGCTGCATGGACCTTCAAGTGCTTCTTCCGATGATGTACAGCGTGTCATCGACCTTGGAGGGGTCATTGTTGGCAAGACCAAGACTGTTGAGTTTGGAGGGAGCCAAGAGGTTATTGGCGACTGCTGCGACTACTTTGATCCCATGAATGTCCGTGGTGATGGATATCTCGCTGGGATTGGGAGCAGCACCGGATCAGCTTCAAGCCTAGCAGCATACCCGTGGCTTGATACCACTTTGGGTACAGATGGTAAGCTAGAACATTCTGCATTGTTGAGTACTCTGCTGGAGGCCAAGTAAGTTGATGAACAAGCTGGTGGGAGCATTCGAGACCCTGCGATCGCTCACGGCGTGTTCGCTTTCCGCCCTTCACATGACGGGAGGCCAACTCCAGACTCCAGACGTGGTTCTTCCTGGCGGGTAAGCCTTTATGTTCATGTCCAAAAGACACGAGATTGATGAGACGGCTAGGATATTTCACACTCCCGGTTTCCTAGGAAGAGATATCCGCAAAATGCATGAGTTCGGTCGTCATTGGCCCCAAAACTCCTCCAAAGCTGAGGTGAGCACTACGAACGCCATTGATGTCGCCTGGACTGACGACGCTGCAGGCTCTGAGGCCGAAACGTGTGTTGTTCCCACGGGAGTACTGATCCGACCATTCCGGTGTCCAACCGATTGCTGAGGACTTGGTGTTGTCCCTCACTGAATGGTTTGGAGCAGACAAAGTCGACATCTCCATGGAAGAGACTTGGAAAGCTACGAAGCCCCCTAGCGCTGAAAAGGGCTTCTTCGGCACATTCAATGAGGTGAGTTGATAGAATCCTAGTGCACTCTTGATGCTCTTGGAGTAGTTCATCGGCTGAGTGAACTGTCCAGACTTTTATGACCTTGATGTAACGCGAGTTCTGGACCTACCTTGCAAATTCCAGGTCGGAATACCAGGAAAAATTCAAGGCGGATCCTTACATGTGCAAAGTCACACAGTACCTATGGTAAGATCAGGTTTCACAATCTCGTGCCATACGCGCTGACGGTCCTGTCTCAGGGATAAAGGCAAGTTGATAAGCCAAGATCGTTGGCAGGAGGCTGTGGATGAAGTATTGCTCCACAACACTTAGTTTCTTGAACATTTGCTCAACGACGAGAAGACCATTATGATTGTCCCTCGATACAAATTGGACTACCGGGATGAATACTTGCCGTAAGAGATGTGAATGACTACCAGTGTAGTAACCTTGGCTAACTAAAACTTTAGCGTGCCCGAGAATCGAGGCTTTGAGGGCTTCGACTCCAATCTTCACGCTTCGTTAACAGGTGTGACAAACCAGATTGTGCCCGGTAAGAGTCGACCGTAAAATGACCAATGATAATTCGAAGCATTCTAATAGAGCAACACAGTCAGTCAATGTGAATCTCAGTCTCAAGTTTCCGGGCGAAAAGAATACTTTCCCGTTTCTCTCTCCGTCATGGGACCCAAAGGTTAGTAAAACCCTTCCTTATCCCATCACAGCGCAGTGGAAGAAGTTCTCACGGAGACATTGAAGGGATTAATGTTGGGCTGTTGAGCCTCGTTCATGACTATCTAGCCGACAAAGGACTCCCCAGTTCTGTAATGACCGGCAGTACCGCGTTTTAACGTTCTCTGACATAGGCAGCGGAAGATTGATCTTGGTACGGACTTTTCCCTGACAACATAACTCATCTCAAGTAACGATTTACCGACAACGGCTGGTCCACCTATCATGGCGCAAAGAAGTAATTGAGTTGATGTAGTTGGGGCAGGAATCATTCTGACCCAAAGTCTGAACCGGATTTGCCATGCAGATACAGTTCTATTCAGACAAAGCATCTGGCCCACCGGGTGGGTTTTTGAGTCGGCAGAACACGGAAAGCGAGACGCGAGGGCACTGCTGCTACTGTCTTCTAGACTTTCAATATAGAACTTCTCAGTCATAATGGGCTATTGACTTCGATATGAAACTATGGGTGAGTAAGCGAAGGCGAAGTTGCAAAAGCAAGCTTTCCGTCCGATACTCAAAATGGACCATCCTAGTTGAGATCGGAGACAAAACCGGACGAAGAGATAAACTTTGAGTGGTCTGTGTTGTGTCCAACTCACTGATCAACTCTTGCAATTCCTCAGATGACAACTAAACGAAACCGCGAACCTGTGCCTTGACGAGAGCACAACTTGAGCCTCACTCTGAGCCAGTAGCCACACCTCAACCGCAAGTCGTTTATGACAATGGCCGGTTGGCCCAATGGCAAGGCGTCTGACTACGATTTAATATGTTATCAGGAGATTCTGGGTTCGACCCCCAGGCTGGTCAATTTCATTTTTTGAGCGTGGTGGAAATGGCCCCAAAATACGGCCGAGATGCCGCTTAGGGCATGACTTTTGAAGATTCCAGGGAATACCCCACAAAACCGTTGGCAATAGGGTGGGCCGAAGCACGGTTCGTTGGTTGTTCTCTGGGCGAAAAGCTTGCGTTCACCGCATCGTCACCGGCTAACCGGTGGAAGTTGCCGCTTGCGTGGACTAGGTGGTATCACCGTGGTAGCGATGATCCGACGCGTGAGCAGCTTGACGCGGTTCAGGGCCAGTCATACGCGTTCGAGGACCTAGATGGTATTAGTACCTAGATGATGGTGATACTGAACCATTGAGTTTACGTCAATTGTCAATAGGCAATCGAGCGCGAGAACGAGCGGATGCCATCATGTTTAAGATCTGGGGAATGGCGGCTTAGAGTCAGGGGATGCTCGTATCTCGTCGGCACCACCGCTCCGTCGGCGACCCGTGGGCGCCGGCAACGCCGTGGGACCCCGGTCGGCACTCTCGGCTTGTGGGAGAGCTCTTGGCTTAGAGGCTCAGTTGTTCAGGGCTCGTCGTTCGCCTGGACATTCTCCTGTTAGTTCTCTAGGGTGGGCTTGACGTCCCGGGATGACGCCAAGGGGCCTCTCGCGGCTTCGGCAAGTCTAATCACTCCAGGCCTGATACATCATATAAGGCAGGGCAAAGCCAACAATTTTGATAACTACAAGCCGTTCACAATCGCATTGTGAAGTAGGCACAACGGCGCACTACAGGCGCACTGCAATCTACGCAAGACGATCAGCAACCAACGCATAAAGTAAAATCAAACTCTAATAACCGGCAAGTGGAACCACTCACAGCTCTGCCCCTGGCCAGCAACCAATCTCCCCTTGGTGCCTGACTCGTACCTCAACCAGGGTGAAGGTTTCAACCGGGACTCGGGTCTCATGCTGCCCCACACAATATCGAGTTCCCCTGGCTAAAAGACCGCGGACGAGTGATCACGACAGACGTCAACGGTGCTGCGGACGAGCCAGGTTGGTCCCTCTGACCACTGGGTCAAAAGTGCCCCTAATCCCGCAGTGGCCGAGCCTCCGGGTCCTGTCTCCTTTGGGCCCCGAGGAGGAGAACTGGAGTTCAAGGATCTTTATCAATACCAAGGTCCAAGTGAACCGTGCCATCTCCAGCGACGGGCTGTCGTTCGAACTTGTCCCCTTTCAAGTAGTGTTGTCCCCCATCCCCTCCTCCACAGTTACCTAAAAATCTTCCTCATCCCAAAGTCGACCGCTTTTGAACCCCGATATCCCGCCCGGTGAACGCATTGAACGTGTTGGACATATCGAAAAGGAAACCAATGTTGAAAACGGATTCGGCTAAGGCGCTGCCCTGCTAGAGAAAACAAACAAGAAAAACAAACACGATTTCCGACGCGATCGTACGTCGACCGATCACGGGGCGAAGATGTCTCCGAGACATCGAAATCGAATCGTCCCAACTTCTTCGACGATACTCATATCATATCTCGCGTCGATAACTCATGCCACATTCACCAATGATTTCTCAGCGTACCCAGCAGCAGCGAGATCATGTCTTGACTCAGCCGCTGCAGCGTCCGGGTGTACCGGTGACACGGTGACGGAGATGAACACATGTCTGTGCGGGAATGGCGGAAACTTTGTGCTGGCGACGTCAAAATGCGTGAAAAAAGAGGCAAAAGACAAGCTTGACGATGTCTACGAGATGCTTCTGACCTCCTGCACGGATTCAAAAACGCCATTGGGCATTTCGCAGGCACAATTCCTAGACCCCGAAGACGACGACGAAACCAAGTCAACAGCCTCTTCTTCATCTACTTCTCAGAGCAGCACAACACTATATACCTCCACGACCGCACCGCCGACCGAAATACCAGCATCTTCAACAACATCGACAACGACATCTCTCACGACGTACAAGAGCGTTGCGCCAGGAGGAGTCACAGTCACGGTGACGAGGGGAGTTGAGACAGTATCGACTGGGGCGGCGAGTGGAAAGCAAGGAAGCAACGCCGAGGGGGACCAAGCTACCACCGGCGATGAGGGACCTAGCCACACTGCTCTTGCGGCAGGACTTGCAGGAGGACTAGCAATTCTATTGGGCGTGTTGGCATTCTTCTGCTACAGGCGGCGGAAGCAACGCAAGGAGAGAAAGGGGCAGGTCGGAACCGGTGGAAAATTCGCAGCCTTATCTAGTGCGACAAGTCTCACCACGATGTCGGCCTCACCACCGCAAGGGCAGGCAACGACGGCATATCACGGCGTGAACGACAGACGACCTGATACGGCAAACACGATGAACATGGCAGTGGGCACTCCAGGATGGAACCGTCAGCAACAAGGGCCACAAAGTCCCCAGCATTGGCAGAACAACAACTCTCCTGGGCACTACGGACAACAAGCAGGAACCTGGCCGTCACCAGTCGCCAACGGAGATGGGGCGACGGGAACGTGGGGAGTTTCGCCCGTCTCTCAGTACCGTCCGAACTCATCCAGGGGTCCCGAACCGTCACCACATGCTGGAACCTGGAACGCGCATGCCGCTGAGATGGCAGCCGCTCCAGTTCCCGCACCTCACCCTTCACATCCCTCAAATAATACATATTCTCCCGTCTTTGAATTGCCGGGAGATCAAATACAAGCCGTAGAGGCAGACTCGACACCAGTCGGCCAGGCTCAGCCGGTGGTGCAACCGCCTTCGCGTTCAATACAATCGACGCCGGCTCAAATGCAAGCACAACCAGCGCAACCAGCACCAGCTCATCACGGAATGCCGAGGCAGATCGACGACGCACTTCAAATATCGCGAGTAGAATTACCGCCGCCTCGGTACTCAGGCCCATCATCACCGGATTGGGTCAGCGAGGATAAGAAGTTTGGCTAGATCAAACTTGGAGGGGCCTTTTGGCCCAGATAGCTCTTCAGCATAATGATATTTTATAAATCTTGTAATACTACCCACATGTAGACTTCAGGGCACCACTGCCGCCATGACGCATGAGCCTCCAAATTTCACATAAGATCAGCAATCAGCCTATAAGATGATGTGATGTCATGACCATGCCTTTATGGCGCGACAAGGGTTCAAGAAGTACCACAGTCTGGAGTGAAGAAGACGCATAAGATAACTGACCCAAGTCATCGACTCCGTTACAGCCAAAGTGCAAAAAGAAAGACTGAGCAAAAGCAACTGTCCCTGGCAAGGCTCGAACTTGCGACCTTTGGATGTTTCAAGCTTCAAGCCTAGTCATACCACTTAGGTAATGATATGAGACCAACGCTCTTCCGACTGAGTCACAGACGATAATTGGTGAATCCACTGATCGTACGATCTCATGACAGATTTGCTAACCGGAAATCTGTCGCGGTCCGCGGGTTCATCAGTTGGGTTGAGATCCTGTTAGTTGGTCGAAGTTGAGCAACAAACTTTGGTTTTCTAGCTGGGTCTCACGGAAAAGCCTAGTCTTAAGCTAGTAGGACCAAGGTAGCCAGCCCTACGGATACAAAAGTCGTTAGCTTTGTCACTCACGTCACACGTGTTTTCCACATTCGATGCTCCTCCGTCCAATTGTTTTCCAGGCTTTATCCATTAGAATCACTGAAGCCACGTTTGGTTGAAAGGCAGAACGAGTTGACTGCTTCCTGTAACGAATTCGATCGAAGAGGCCTCTTGTCAACCTTACCAAGCCACAGCATGCGGGTGTCGTGTTCCGAACGCGCGTCTCAACACCGCTAGCCCGTTCTCTGGCCCTGATTGGGTCGGCCGAATCCTGCGGCTGAGCTACCAAACTTGCCAGAGTGCGGCGCAGGATTCCTGCCTAGCAAGATGGCTGAGTATCCAACCAAGACGTGGCATTTGACTGTTCGTAGCATCATCCCACCATTTGACTGATTATCGGCGGGGCCAGGCAACCCCCTGCCTCTAGATTTAACCATAAATCACCCCCCCAACGACCATGACCAGCGCCAAGAGCAATAGCAGATTGTAGGCGTGATTAACACTCCATCGAAACTCCGTCTTCAGTTGAAGATAATACATCGAGCTTGATAATGGCGGGATTCTCCTCCGCTGCGGTAACCACGAGTTGTGATGACATCACTCACCGAATTGTTTCCACGTCCGCTGAGCTCGACAGTCTGTTGAAGGCCATCGATCCTGGGAGCACAGCAGCGCAACACTTGATTTCGGTTTCGGCAAAACTCGATCAGTTTAGAGACACGACTGAGCAGCTCAGAAGGTCGCTCAATGACTCCTCAGCCATATCGCCCGGTCTGCGAAATGCT